ACCTCCTCAAAGTCCTCCAGGAAGGTCCGAACATCCCCATCCTCAAATGGTTGCGGCCACGGAATCTTCATCCTTATCCCGGTCACGGCACCAAATGAAAGCAAGAAGACACTTGCTATGGAGATATTTATTCGGAAATGCCAACTGACCGGTTACAGACCATTGAACAGGGAAGCAAAACACTAACCTGCATCTTAGTTCCAAAAACCGGACACAGATCTTCTCCCGAACGAGTCTTCCTAGAGATTCGATGCCTCCACCCATTTGTTGGTGAAATCCAAGCAAATATTCCACAGTGATCCCACGAATTCCGCAACAGAATTCCATTTTTCAATCGACCCAAATGAAATTCTACGAACAACACATACTACTCGCGTGCCTCCCGATCAGTACTATCACCGTTACACGGGTATCGGCATACGTTTTCTCAGTCATGCAAATTTTTTTTTCAACGAATACTTACAGGTTTGACTCTTTCTGAAAATTCATGGGGTGCTATCAATATGAGTGACTCCGGGCTTGACGGTATCCACTGCGATGTACATTAATAAAAGTAGTCGGTCTTCACCGTATCACCTCAGTGGGATCGCCTGATCCGCCAGGTGTTTATGTATCAAACTTTCTAGGGAATCAATCATTTCATTACGAAACAGATGCTATGTTGACGGTGAGTGATCAAACCCGGTGCTTAACATCATAAGTTCAAAGATGCTGGTCTGATTCATCACTTCAGCGTCCATTGAGAAACTGGATTTGCCGATATTTCTGAAGTTCCATCTATGGCGATTTTGGTAAGGTTTGAAGGTCTCCAAATTTTTCCGGTATGGTGGAATACGTTTCAGAATTCTGACTTTCCTTGCACCGGATTTATTGACACTTTATTCCCTTTGAATGTAAGTGAAGAGGGTCTGGTATATAAAAATTGAGCATGTTTTCTCTGGACTTCATACAACATACATGCAGAAAACTCGTTGCCGTCATCATCGTTCTGCAATGTTTTTTTTACTGCAGGCTTGTGGCCAACGAGGGCTGTCAGTATGAGCACGATAACGACAGCCTCGGATCAACGGTACGGTTTCAGCGGCATGCCTGTTATAAAAATGATGCAAATCGAGCCTTTGTAGCTACTCTGGCACGACATCGCTTTCTGCGAACAATAAACAGTCTTCAACAGCGGAATGTGCCGATCGTGTTGGATAATGCTGAAGCAAGCATTCGTTTTTTTCAACGTTTGGTGGTCACTTGTCTCAGCAGCGGATCCTGTGCGGTTGCCTTGCCTATCATAACGGAAGTGACAGGAGTATTTTAGATGACCTTCGTTAGTGTACGTGTTATTTTTAATTCAGTCGACATCTTAGCTAAAACTGAATCTTCTGAGCCTGTTTTCTAAAAGTCATGGCAGTTCATCCACCTGACCGGTCTTGTCGGTAGATTTGAACTTGATACTAAGGTTTTAACGGTGAATCACGGTAGCTCATCTTTAAAGTCGATTGGCAGATAGACAGAAATGTCCTTCTGTGGTCTGAACACGAATAATTATGTTTTGGTATGTAATTAAAATAATTGTGCGAGCATAAAGCAGCTTGTGGACCTTTTTTCACGGTGTTACGGTTCTGTCACGCAGCGAGCAAACAATATGATAATGCGGATTGTAGCAGTACACTATCCCCAGCTATGTTGCTTGGTCCAGACTCCTAGCACGGCGAATAGTAAGAAGACGAAAACCTCGGACACACACTTTAATAATCCAACGACACACGATCAACAGGCGATGCATGGAGCTTCCGAACCCGAGTCGGTGGAAAGAAAGGTATCCTGTACGTAGTCGGATTTAAATTTCCTTGGAGTATAAATAGGCCATTGATTTTTCACAGTTTGACATTGAAGATGTCGGGAGTTCGCTAGCACACATAAAAACACAGCGTTTTCTGGGGGGTATTGATATCCTCAACACACGGCATAATTATTGGCCAGTGCTTCTTATTCGACCTGACTGTAGCTTCATTCTGCAACACAATCGGTACCATTCAGCTCCGTGATCAATCGGTTATTATGTTCGGTTAAACCACTTGTGTGCGTGTGGTATGGTGCAATCTTTAGCTGTCTGATGTTCAGCTTCTGCAAGCAAACCCTAAACTCTTCGCACTCAAAGCAAGGCCTCTGATTGGTTAGGATCATTTTTGGAAACACATGGTTGGCCACATTGTGACGCGTTGCTACTCCACTCATTTTTGTTACCCGTTGATTTGACACAGCTGCCGCTTCAATCTATCGCGACTGTTGCTATATCACTATCGTGATATAAGGATTTCATCCTGCTGCCGAGCCGCAAAGAGCCCACGATATCAACGGATCATAGCACGCCTATTTCTGAGACCCGGTCGCATCCACTTCCATCAGTTAGCTCCACTTACAGTACACCAAATTATCCAATATCTCACTTCTCATCCTGGGCCAGTAGGCCCTCTGTTGAAGTAGGCCGTGTGTCTTGCTGCATCCTGTGTTTGCCATCTCGTAGCACTCAACACTTTCCGCTTCCGTCTAAGGACGCGGGGACCACGGCAGCACCAAATTAGAATCGGTGGCGTTCAAGACTAGGTCGATCGAAATGACTGTGGTGTTCTAGCCACCCTGGGACAAAATATGAAGTGTCAAGTTCTTTGCGCTTGCTCAAACCTATGCCTTATATTTTGAATACCAAAGGCGTTCATTCACGTTAGTTAAACTACGACCTAAAAACACAATCGACAGTTCATATTTTGCCTGACCATGGAATTTCGATTGGGCAAATTACCATATTATTTCATAATTTAACTTTTGGACAAACAACACCAAGAATAAGTTGCGCAAAGATGGGAATGAAGGAACTGATCATTTGACGTAATGCCTAAATGAATTCAATTTGCAATCCATTTGGAAGGTACCGGTATACACGGGAAATTTATCCCGTTCACTGGAGTCCCTGTTAGAACGAAGATAATATGCAAATGGGGGTATTCCTATTTGAAGTTCAGATCCCTATAATTAACCATAAGATACACGAAACCTACGGCGACCCTAGAGCCCTAATAAAAATTTGGATAGGAAACACGGCTAGCATCCAGGACTGTCAATCATTCAATCAATTCAGCAAAAGCCGACGAGTGTTCATTCATGCCATAGAAGCACGACCGAAGTTGATAAGCATTCATGCATTTCATAGAGGCCCATAAAAGCACCATCGATATTTATGGGTGATCACTAGTGCGCATTTGATAGCCTAGTGAATCGTAAAAAGCGTGGGCCCCATGTACCTGTTAGTCACTCCCGCGTTTGCTCGTTTGGAATGAAAGTGTGGTGAACCAGGCACCAGGCAACAGGCACTGAATTAGGAACAAAATTGTTGGCGATAACCTGCCCTGAACGACCGCTAAATTATGTGCGTAGCGGAACCAATCAAATTGCTGTTTAATTTGAGGTTTTGGGTGGATTAATAGGCTCTGGCTTTTTGCTTATGTGTCGTAAGGTGTCAGTGAACTGTTCGGGTGAAAAGCATTCCTTACAATAGAAGAAAATGCTAACTCTCAACAATGTTGACTACTGATCACATAGAGTAACAAGACTGAGATTTACAGGGATGACAAATGCATTGCCCTTAAGTTGCCTATCGCTGAAAATACTTACCGAACAGCGAATGATGACGTGCCATTTAAGAGTAATCAGGAAGCGTTTTGGTGGGCTGCCGTTTCAAGAACCGTCGTACTGTTTTTGCTGTGCATTAACCGTGTGGCCAACCGGCCTGCGTTGTCGCTTGGCGTTCTATTGTTCGGTTCATAAGCATGTATTATTCCTACCCTGTTAATCGGTCTTCCCTTTGTGTTGGCTCCCGTGCGGTACCGCGCATGCGGCTTATACAAAACTGCTTCTTTGGATGGAACTTCTAAACGATCCTTGACTATATACATCGCGCTTTGGCTTGAGGATGCTCCCGTTTCGCGCGCATACACACACATATATTGTTGATTCTAATACAACAACAACACGCTAGCTGTCTCGTAAGAATATGCCTGTAAGAAACAGAGGATTCCAGAAGATTGCTTTCCAGTCCGATTGCTAGAGTAACTGGCACCATCCCAAGGACTTCAACGAAATATCCGATGAAGTTGTGACTGGTTGTGTGGGAACTTATTAAAATTCTATAGGGTTGAGTTTGACAACCTGTCTCTAGTCCGGTGAGAGTGAAAAAGCGGAAATTGGAATTTGAGCAGTGCGTTTAAGTCAACAGACAACCTAAAATACTGTTTACTTGTGTCGTTTGGCAGATCTGTTCTATTCGTTATGTGCATCATCGTGCAACGTTGCGTCAAATTGGAGAAAGTCATGAGGATCCGAACGGTTTCACCTATTTTGTTCGATTCTTACCGAACTACCTCTGATCCACAGCTTTGGTCGGAAAACATAACCCATGTCATATGACGATATCGAACAAAATATGAAGCATTTTATATCCACTTTATTTCGGCAGAATCACACAACAGGTTGCGAATCTGCTAGGAACAGACATTGTAGACAGACTGGATGAGTATTTCGGCCTCGTATCCGAATTTGCACAACTCCATTAAATGAGTTGTTTGCTGACCAACCTCGGGAACCTAAAGACACAGGGATAACGGAATCCCAATCAGGAACTCGATCAAGGCATGCAAACGAAATATTCATCACGCATGAGGGGTACTGATAATCATACTCTTCTATCACCTGGTGAGAAAAATGACTGAGTGACTGCGGACGACGAACTGTTGTGCGGTTAATGAGGTATTTGAAATAATGACGAAGTCCATGATAGGATAAGCTTCTGGTTGCAACAGTAATCGACGATGAATGTGCGGTAAGAGTAACCGCTCAAGATCGTTTATGCAATTTTGAAATCACTCAGGCAAATTTGCTTGTTGATAATCCACCGAAGTTACATATGTTAGTCAGTGAACTGTGTACACTAATTGACCATAACACCTGATTCAGTAGCAAATAATCACGCCTTCTCGCAATCGACGACTCGGGATTTGGAGAGTGGATATCATCTGACCAAACCCAAATTTGTTTAATGAAAACTTTAAATCTTAAAAAAAGGCAAATGTTACAACTCATAAGTAAATCTTTGTTAGAAGAGAAAATCGTTAATGCTGCGATGACGTTACTGAAATTTTCGAACGATTCTTGGAATCAACAATGGTCTATTATGCTTTGCGAACTAACTATAAATAATAAAATTACCCCAGAAATAACCCCCTACTAAAACAGGTGTAGAAAAGCACAGTACTATCAGTCTATATGTTGGGAACCGGGTGAGTCCGCCGGTGCCATTAGCTGAGCATGTTTGCCCTTTCAAGCAAGCTATCTACGATGGGAACCGAACGTTTCCGAACAATCTGTCTTAGAGATTATATAGGCAGAAAGTTAAATCTTTGAAACCCACGGAAAGTAAAACAGAGATACTGATACGATCTATCCCGAGTTCATCAATAATGTGGTATTACCATGTTACTTTCTTTCCACCGCTTTATCGTGCCGATGGCTCCAGGTTGCAGGTGTTTGGACGTCGCTTTTTTCTATACATTTTCCAGAAAATTGTGCCTTTCTGAATAAAATACTAATAATTTTTGCCAAAATTACTGGCCAAATCTTGCTGGACTCCAATCCGTATGACTGTTGAACACACGAACCATCCGGAAGACGAGTCTGTGTCATTACTCTCTAGTGGTCGGTGTGCGCCGGCTGGTGAATCATTTATGCTAGGAAGGACAAGAGGCCCTGTCCGACCAGCTGAACAACTATAATGACCTGAACTCAACTGAGCTGAACTGAACTGAACCGAACTGAACTGACCTGAACTGAACTGAACTGAACTGAACTGAACTGAACTGAACTGAATTGAAATGAGCTGAAATGAATTGAAATCAACTGAACCGAAGTGAACCGAGTTTAACTGAACTGAAGTGAACTCAACTGAACTCAACTTAACTGCACCTAACTGAACTGAACTAAACTGAACTTATGCAACATCATTCAGCTACTGTCAATCTCGCACACCCCTATGGTCAATCCTGGTTTTGGAAGATCCCATTCGATAACACTTCGGCTTGTTTAAAATCCCTATTTAGTTACATCAATTCCCAACTTCTTTGAACAACTTTGTGAAAACGGGTTCATAAGTAATTTCGCCCAAAATATATCTCATGAACTGTTGTAGTGATTAACCACCTGTTGCTGGATTAACGTCAACGAAGAAGAAAAAAAAACGAGGGTGGTAATAATAATATAAGTGCCGGATTTGCACCGAAATCTCCTAACTTAAAGGTTATTTGCTGATAGTTCAACTAGAAGGTGTTTTGGGACTGTAGCTCACCTAACGTTACGCCAAGAGTGAATACATTGGCAGTAAGGTATACATATTTTTCGATACCTTATTGCATGCACCACGTGGTCAACTCACTTGCTGAATTGTGAAGCAGTGCGTCTGGAATCGATCGAATACGGCCTCGAAACATATGAGCCCACCCTTCTTGGACAAGCCCTTTACCGTTGGCTGGTGGTGGGTTGTCACATCAGTGACAATGTCGAGAAACGTTTCTTTGACGATATGACCGAGCTAAACAAAAGCATGCGGAATAGATTTCGACGGATAAGCAACAGATTATGAGCAAAAATATCCATCCTGCAAAACCCCACTTGGAACGAAAAAGTTGCCCAGTGGAATTCAAGCGTGTGTCACGCCACCGATGAGTCGGGCCCACCATTCACATCCCTACCGTGTGAACCCGTTCGCCTTTTCAGACTTGACAATGGAGATGCGTCCAACGTGCGCTAATGGAGGAGCCATTACACGCTCGCCTCGAATGTCAGATGTCCGGGGTTGAAATGTCCTCGCGACTCGATTGCAGTGATTCCCTTTGGTGTGGAATCACCGGAAAAATTGCCAGAACAGGGACACACGTTGAAACTAGATTGGTGTGACTATGAACGTATATAAAAGAGATTTCTTGCAAATCTAAGCAAACCACGTTGAATAGTTAGGAGGCTTCCAGAAACGACAATTAAAAATGCTGAACCCATGTCATGTATCATGCTTCTTCGACAACTTTTCACCACACAAATGGGATACTTCATGAAATATCCCTTTAACGTATAATAAGTTACTTGTTTGATTATCATCTGCACAAGAAAAAGAAACTACAAACCCGAAGTGCACGGTGCAATTTTCGCAAACCCTTTTGGTTTGCTTCCTCGGTTGTGGCCTCAGTCAAGCGTCGGGACATCGACAACAACCGCGCTCGGGAAGAGGGTTTTCTGTCCGCAACATTCGGCTGGAACCAAGAAGACAATTGTGTGACATTTCCTTTTAACAGAAGCTCGTTAATTCTGAATAGCAGAATTGATTTTCTAGACTACTCGCTGTTAGGGAGAAACTAGCCGTGATCACTTGGTTTCCACGGTAAAGTAGATTCCAGCCGAAATTCATCCTTCTGGATAACACTTTTTGCTTGAATGGGACATCACTAAAATTGTCATGAATTTAGCTGAATACTTGTAACAGGGACTTAAATGTCATACACAGTTTGATGCCTTGAACACACATAAGCGAACTCGTTGATGAAAAAACGCACCCACTCCAGAAATACGTAGCATCATGAGCCTAGCAGGTGATAATTTCTGTGCACTGTTCAGGGTCAGTGGAAGCATAAAATGCAGTCCTCGAATAATTCCAACCGGCGTCACGCTTCTCAGCTAGAATGATTAGTGCTTGCTATCTGCTTGACTCGCAGTACTCAAGTTACAGGCAATAAGCGGACGGACCACCTGGTTGATCCATGTCTCGCTTGTTTTGCATTGCTCCTGCAGATTGACCACTAGCTATCGGTATAAGATTTTGAGGGACAATTTCTGATCCAGTATTCACACTCGTCCCAGAATCTGCGGAGAGCCCAATCTGAGTTGCGAACTGGTAATATTGTTATGGTTACCTCAAAGAAATCTTGTAACCAGACAAACTATTCATTACGAAGTACAAATACGTCGTTGACCTCTGATATGTAATCAATAATGTCGTTTTGGTTCGCCATGAAGAATGAACAAATGTCTGAATTGTTTAACTCAGCTAGCCAAAAACATCATGACGGCTCATTTCAAGTCGTCTGAAAGACACAAACTCAGAAGGGGAAATCTGACAGACTGTGATATTTCCGCCAAATTTACCGAGAAGGGTGAATCGCATGAAAACGCGCTCGAGTACACAATTACTCATTTGAATTTACGAAGCCGATGTTATATACTGGGGTTCGTTCACAGGCCGTCGCCACTACTACCACTTGTCACATGTTTTGCATATTCGAAACATTCAGTGGCATCTGTAATGCACGTTGTTGGTCACAGCCAGTCCTAAATATGAGCAGTGGTTCGCATTTGATTGGGATGTTGAGCGTTGCTTTCACTGGACTGAATGACGCAATCGATGTATAAAATATCCAACTTATTATACTAGCGTTGTAATATGGAGTGGACACTTGATTATTTAAACAAATGATACCGTAAGCAATGACTGTCCCAAAAGATAATTCAAAGTATCAAATATTGCGCCGAACACATACTGCTATTGCCCCTTCATTCGGGTGAATCCTTATCTTAAAATGACCTTGGAACCTTCCAAATTGGAGACTTCCCATCGCCTGAAATAAACAACAAACACACATTAATGCATTATGAACCAAAAACGAAGTAGACGAAGGATACGAGTGAATAATAAATATCACTTCCGGGACTGTCCCACAAACACCACCGAATCGGTAATATGAACATCTAAGTTTGCTCGTTTAGGTTCATGACGAAAAAATGACACTGACTACGTTTCTACGAATTGGACCGAAGCGCAGTATCCGATGTGCTGACAGACATTTGGGTTGTGTACTTGGCTGTACTCGCTAGTGCAGGCAGAAGTGTGTTTGTTGCATTTCAGCTACTAAAACTTTCATAGATTAATTTGATTTTCAACCGCGCCTACCAACATATTGTGGGTACAAAATAAATGAACTCATGTCATCACTACTTTTCGCCAAAACAAGTCTTGCACCCACACTAACTATTTCTTTCACCATGTGTGCTTTGCGTAACTAGCTGTTTCCCTAGAGACGCCACCATAAAGTATAGTTTAATTTTGAATCACCCGACAGTGAGTCTGTTGCTCGCCTATGTCGTTCATTTTACCCGCGTTATTCTACACACCCCCTTGTGCCGCAAAGCAGAACGTTCTCATTTGATTGGATATTTCAGTTTGTCCGTGATCAGCAGTGTTTCTAGCTGTAGTTTAGATAGCAAACAGAGTCACTCCTCACAGAAAGCCACACACCTGGCCAGGCATTGACTGGCTGCTCGCGTGTGAACGTCTCAGATGGAAGTTTCAGTCAACGTGTAAATCTATTTCCCCTCTAATTTACGTTTGGTTCATTCAGAGAGATTTGCATTCTTTTTGTATCACAGCAGAGAGAGGTTCAATGCACAACTCACCAGGCGCTATCATTTGGTTATCCGAAAGATGACACTGACTAGGCTGGGATACCTAGATGTGTGGACTAGCTAATTGCTCAAATTAGACAATAAACTTGAACCCCCAATCAAGCATTTTCAACATTGAGAGTCACCTGTGGAAATTAACAAAACACTTCAGAAGAGCTTGGTAAACAATCGGTCGTTTTTTTATTTGGGCAACGTTTCGCTTTTGACACAAAAGCTTCATCAGGCCAAGCTTTTGTGTCAAAAGCGAAACGTTGCCCAAATAAAAACTACCGATTGTGTACCAAGCTCTTCTGAAATGATGACTTCTCAATCGGTTCTAAACTTTTTCCAATTGATTGATAACAAAACACTTCTTTCATCTCGACAAATTCACTCAGTTTTTCATCACAGTTTGGCTTTTTTCTATGACTCAAGGGAATCTGTCCGTGACATTTTGTGACCTACCAAATCACCGTATTTCATCACGTGACTTTTCGTTGTCCCTCTTCTCACCGCCTCGTACTGTTGATCCAGTGTCCGCCTTCTGATGTCATTCTGCGGGCGAGTGTAATTTATTGACAAAACGGGGCTATGTGAAGCCGACAGGTCAGCTTACGCAATTTTCAAAAGGCGAAATGTAGGCAAAACCGTGAGACTAAAACTAGAGGTAAGATATTGAGTAGCACATACTACTGGTAAACAAGTGAGCGTTCCGCCGTTCCAGGACAAAGTGCGTATGAAAGACATGTCAACGATTTCACGCCGCCATCATCATCGATATCGAAAACAGCGGGAATCAGTGGTGCTGCACAGCCGTACAAGCATGCCACTTTATTGGTATTGGGAAAAGGGGGCATAATGGAGCATGAAGGAAAACCCTGGGCTAGACTTAATCAAGCACACGAGATCCATAAACCTACGCCAGTCATTCAGACAATGTAACAGAAATTGACAGCAACAACGTCACCGACATCGGTGGACTTGCCACAATTATTCCGATGAGCTTACAGCTTCCAACGCTCACTCGACAAGCCACAGTGATAATCTTTATATTAGATGGCAATTTACACCGATATCCCACAGACTATCGATTGTTTCCTTCTTTGGCTGAGCCTAATCTGGAGTTTAGTGAGATATATTGTAACATCCAGCCAATGGTTTCCGTGGTTGAAAACCCCCAAAAGATCGTGATGACTGAGTTCCCATCAACCTCCATCGTGCTTATGAACAAAACTGACGGTGATTGCAGTGTTGGCGGCGAGTAGTAAACTGCGGACTTAGATGTCCAGTTGCACAAAAAGTGCCATACCATGGAAGGGAATCAGTGCCGTGTACGAAGCCTGTCAGCGATATAACTGCTGAGCTCGATACGAGCTAAATTAATCCAAAATTGAAACATCCAACTATGTTGCACCACATGTCCCACGTGTATACTAAGGTTCATGTTTGTGGATGTGCAGACCAGTTCAAGTTGACGGAACTGTTAAATACTACGTTGCCGAGTAAGATACATAATGTGAAATATTCAATACCCGAATAATGTGCAAGACTGGATTAGGTAAGCTGAGCAGCATACGTCTGCACCGCGGGTGAGCAAGAAGCTCCAGAAACCCAAACCTAAACTTGGGCCGAGTGTCCACATATGTCAATAGTATTTGACGACTCCCAAAGACACCTCAGTATCACCGGAAGATTTATACTTATTAAGGAAGTATGGCTCACTCATTGTGAATACACAACTTGAAAGTACAACCAATGGCTGCTGACTACCACTGGACTAGCAATCCACAACTGGCAAGTTTATCTGCAACATCTGAACAACTTACGTGTTCCGAATCTGTAATCCAGGCATACGAGTATTGGTTTGCCAGACAAGTATCGATTTGCTTGTCATTACAAAAAGCACACCAGTCTTCTTCTTTCTCGTTGGATGACGTTGTCACAAAGGCTGAAGTTTTTGGGGGTTTAGACAGCAGAAAGTATAGATCACTAGGAGAAGGGTGTGAAATAGTGAGGTTGATTATCGACGAATTGATACGGTGACTTACATTCCTCCACGGTAAGACACGGACCCACAGAAATTGTGAAGCTGGTAGAATACGAGAACCACTACATCACTGAAATGTTTGGTGAAATCACATCGATATAACACAGTGATTTTCACGCTTCTTCGGGTCAGTCAGTGAAATGCAGTCCTGGAAATTTTGTGGAAACTAATCACTTCTTAAAAACAGACCGACCAGAACATGTCGAACAATTTCAGCTGGATTAGTTTGGGTCGGCCAGTCAACAAATAAATTCAAGTTGACTGTTAAATACTACGTTGCCGAGTAAGATACATAATGTGAAATATTCAATACCCGAATAATGTGCAAGACTGGATTAGGTAAGCTGAGCAGCATACGTCTGCACCGCGGGTGAGCAAGAAGCTCCAGAAACCCAAACCTAAACTTGGGCCGAGTGTCCACATATGTCAATAGTATTTGACGACTCCCAAAGACACCTCAGTATCACCGGAAGATTTATACTTATTAAGGAAGTATGGCTCACTCATTGTGAATACACAACTTGAAAGTACAACCAATGGCTGCTGACTACCACTGGACTAGCAATCCACAACTGGCAAGTTTATCTGCAACATCTGAACAACTTACGTGTTCCGAATCTGTAATCCAGGCATACGAGTATTGGTTTGCCAGACAAGTATCGATTTGCTTGTCATTACAAAAAGCACACCAGTCTTCTTCTTTCTCGTTGGATGACGTTGTCACAAAGGCTGAAGTTTTTGGGGGTTTAGACAGCAGAAAGTATAGATCACTAGGAGAAGGGTGTGAAATAGTGAGGTTGATTATCGACGAATTGATACGCTGACTTACATTCCTCCACGGTAAGACACGGACCCACAGAAATTGTGAAGCTGGTAGAATACGAGAACCACTACATCACTGAAATGTTTGGTGAAATCACATCGATATAACACAGTGATTTTCACGCTTCTTCGGGTCAGTCAGTGAAATGCAGTCCTGGAAATTTTGTGGAAACTAATCACTTCTTAAAAACAGACCGACCAGAACATGTCGAACAATTTCAGCTGGATTAGTTTGGGTCGGCCAGTCAACAAATAAATGTGTAAACGCATAATATGTATTGTTGATGAGAAAACACTCAGGAGAGACATCGGATATGATCAATCATAGGCAGTCATGTCAAAACCATTAAACCTGCTGGTAAAAATGCGGTATCCATCCAGCAATGGTATATACTGCACAGGGACACCAAAATAACACCTGTATCGTGCCGGTTATATAATAATCTCTCCCACTCGTATAAAAATGGTTCCGCAGCAGGAGCGGCATTTATCGAACAACGCTGGATATAGTGCAATCCAGGGCTACATACCATTTGCATAGAGGCAGTGACAACCTGTATAAAAGATTCACGAAGAGAACAAGAATGAACCAAGCATAGAAGTTCTTTTAGTCGCACTGACCAGTGCGGTGTTTTATCTACACTTGAAGCGCATTTTGTGTGCTGTTCCACGGGGTCTTCAGAAGAGCCAGTCAAAAACGTGCGTTACTTACTATTCGTAGTTGAGGGAAGAACATCTTGGAACATTGATCCGGAGTAGCAAGCCTCTATATACAGCACCAACTGTTTGTACATTTTTTTTGACTGCATGTAGGCGAGGGTATCGTTCAACTCCCTGGCATAGAGCTGTACCAAAACAGGGGAGAATATCCTCGTGAGATTGCGATAGCTAAACGATTCGAACGTGAATTCAGGGACTAGATGGCCGGGTCTCGAACCCAGTTTCAACATTTCGATTTTGACTGTATAGGCTTTGGAAGTATGGCATTTACTGACACCTCGTTTTTCCTCTGGTTGGATTAGCAGCTAGCCAACGAACAAGTGGCTTAGCTGAACGAAATTTGAATTCTTGGGAACACCGTGAAATAGGATCAGTTTAGGGAAAATGTTTGAATGCGTTTTACTTAGTCCCCGTGAAGTGATAGCGGAGTGACCTGGTAAGCCTTGTTTGTTTTTTCTCTGGACTACCAGTGCCATCATATCCTCTGTAGTGTGTCAGCTACACTGCTAACAGTAACGTGAACTCTCTCGACAACTGCTCGCATGGACTAATGTTGGAGCGAATAGGCTTGCAGCTACAGGATCTGAATAATGAACGGGCAGCGTCTCTGTTTATGGCATCCACGTTTGTCCAGCAGTCTAAGTGGACCAATCGCAAAATCATGTGAGTTGAGCGAAATTAAACCCATTAAAACAAGATCTGTGTGACATTTTCATTAAATACACCTTGACTGGACGTACAAAGCTTGAATTGCTGGTGATACCACTTTCTGGAGGCCAGATTCAAACATGGACAATTTTTTATAGGGGATAACTGATTAACTAATGTATCAAAACAAGTTCATCTAAGCCTCATTATTCCGCTCCGCAATTTGATTCCTATTGAAAAATTGTGTGCTATCAACGCGGTTAGCAACATTAACCGAACTTACTTTAGCTCCTGGGAATGCAATAAAGGGAACTTGACCATGGCCAGAGAAGAAGATGAATACGTAGTCATCACGACCACTGTAAGTGAGCAGCCAGGGTAAAGAGGTCATGAAGAGTAGCTTATACGGTGGTGCTTCCGCGTTAGGCAAGAAATCAAAACAGCCACATAATTGAAAAATATAGCAGGCGCACAGAAAATGGACTGTTTTCTTCGAGCTTTAATTGGAGATTATCCACCAAACTACTTACGATAATAAAAAACACATTTTTTACGGCCCGACACTCTGACCTGGAACACTGAAATTCTAGCTGTGATCAGCAAGAGCACTAGCAATGTCAAAATTCGCGCAAACGCACCTCTTTAGCACCTTCTTCCCTTCTTTTTCTAGTGCTCTGTCGCCTTTGAGTACCTTCAAGAAGTTTTCCGCTGTGACATCCTAAAACAGATGGACCCGCATCAGTGATTCCCGTGGAAATTGTGTCATCCGCACTCATTCCCTTCAAGTTAACCATCATTTGCAGTTTCACAAACAATTGAAACCTAGGATCCGCTCTCCAACTTCACTCGGCTTACATTCACGATAGTCGATGCATCCTGAAAAATGACGAATTCGATTGTAGACGTATTTGCCGAGCACGGCAGTTCGATTTGCTCCTCAGAACTAGTGCTTGCACCAAAGTCGAAAGGGAATTACCTGGGAGCACGACCAAGTAGCTTCCTCTCTATGAGATGTTAAGGGATGGAACAAAAGTGTGAACTAGCCGCTATCTTGAAATGGGTACTACTCATCAGCAGTAAAATGAAGCACAGATGAAATTTGAATTTACGCTGTTCAATAACTCCTTGGCTGCACATGACCCGCTGCTTGGTGCAGCTTTCGAGATACCACAGGATATATTCTCGGTGGAAATTATTCACAAGGATAATGGAAACACTTCGTCAAACAACAACCAATTTTGCTTCTTAAATGTCCATAACGAAGGCACATTCTCCGACTTTCCATTTACGTCATTTATTGACAGCTATCGAGACCGTGGGTTTTGGCGCGTTCATGTGAAAGGTACATAGAAGCACAGATGAAATTTGAATTTACGCTGTTCAATAACTCCTTGGCTGCACATGACCCGCTGCTTGGTGCAGCTTTCGAGATACCACAGGATATATTCTCGGTGGAAATTATTCACAAGGATAATGGAAACACTTCGTCAAACAACAACCAATTTTGCTTCTTAAATGTCCATAACGAAGGCACATTCTCCGACTTTCCATTTACGTCATTTATTGACAGCTATCGAGACCGTGGGTTTTGGCGCGTTCATGTGAAAGATACATAGACGAGAAATTCAGCTGGACTTCATTCGAGTCTCCCGTTAATGCTGACTCGGTTTGCAAATGAGAGTTGTGTGAACCTGTGATGTGAACGTTGGACATGAGGTTGACGGCAACTTGGGAGCCGACAGAATCCCGCACCGGTAAAACTTTGCTGCTTGCAAAGAGATCGGACAGCTTTCCAGTTCAGCATCGAGGCGAGCCCTGTTTGGAACCGATAGTCAATACTGATCCAGTGTCCACTGAATGCTGATCCCAATGGCGCATTCAAATGTCCCCATGATTGCAAAAACATAGTCGCCTATATCGAGTTTTGGGCGGTGATGCACGTTATGCATCTTTGTTGCATTTTTAAACACAAATGCCATCTTAGAGCCTTCAGATGCAGAACTTAGCTGCCGAAATACTGTTAGAACACGGTAAGCCTTCTTGATGGGCCGCCAGCAAGTTTGAACACGCTCGTAGGCTGCTTGAGAGCTCTCTACGAACTTGAGACTAGTGTGCGTTCAAGTAAATATACCACTCTATAAGGTAGTTAAACTGATTGGTCCACCCTACGGTTGATATTGAGCTTGGATACGCATTGTCATGCTACTTGCGCCCCTGTGATATATGGTGAAAAATTCACGTGTTTGCTGCGCACGGAATTACTTTTTCACGGTAGTCGATTACCACACCCTCGTAGACGTCTTTGTGGTCGTAGTCATGGAATACTTTGCCTGGAAACGGATTTCTGAAATAAAAGAATAAGAGAGCGTATTGAACTTTTCGGTGGAAATTAACATATAGTTCGAATGGGAAGGGATGAAATGCTCATGGGCTTGATATGAATAAATTTTCACGCCAATGTTTACACCGCGTGTTACATTTCCGATTAATTATAAACTAATAATCCTTACAAATTTTGTGCGGAAATGTAATCCGCTTAGGTAAATTTTCAGTCAGACACCACCAGTAGTACATTTTATGAATGTAATATGATGGTGTAATGAACGACTTTCGATTATTGCAACCTCCTACTAAACCCTACTTTTCACGCCAAAGGAAGTCTACCTCCACTAGTCCTAGCAAAACACTGGACTACAAAATTGTAACAACATTAGAGCGTCTGCTTAAGACTTTTTTCCAATCATCAGCGGTGTGAAGCACTCGAAAGACATCCTGGTATCTACGTCGGTAATTTCAGACTACTGACAAATGAAAGGTAGTAAAATATTGCTATTTGCCAGCGAGGTTTATCACAGTGGCTGCATTCGAATTTTGTATCGATTTTGCTGACTGAACCAGAGTCCTGTGTCCCTTACAGTCATGAAGAGACACGAAGGAAAGTAAACTTTATGGTACATTTGAAGTGACACAAGTAACCATGATGCCACAATTTGCTGTAATCCGATCAACTCATGATTTGTATTCATGAGCAATATGGTTCAAACATGAGATATTTTAACGCTAAAAAATTAAACATGTTTTTACAGCCTAGTTGCTATCAGGTGGATAAAAAAATTTTACCCGATATTTACTTCGGATTGTTCGCAATATCGTCGTAAACGAAGGTAATAATATTCGCCGCTGGAACTTTGTTTGCACGCACGACATGATACGCGTGAAGGACGTCCGCCTGAATTGGGAAAAATGGCAGGTGAATGATGCACCAGAGGCTGATTTGAACAGAGAGATTGAAGTAGGCAAAATGAAAAACATCATCCATACCTGGTGGGGTATCAGTTCCTGCATCAGCGAGTAGCTAAAGCAAATCACGGTCAGCCTGATGCTGACCGTTTCATGGCTTTCTTTGTGTTCTTCGCGCTAGATTCTATCTTTTAGGTGGGGCGGAGACCTGCCAATACCTCCAGGTTTACTATGCAACTGATTCGTACTCATTAACAATCATCTGTAGTGCGCATTTCATGCTTTTTGGGAAAAATTCGAACCCGCTTCGTTCCGAGAATTATTTGGAGGCTCAGCCGTTTGGCCATAGGCAGCTCATTCGTGGTGTGATTAGCTGAGGCCGCAACCCATTTGGGAACGCACGCTAACGGATATTTCCTCAATAACTCGAAACCCCTCAATTCTTTGTAAGCCAGGTAAATTCAGATTTATTGTTAATCTTGTTTTGCTGCATTGTGTTCGCCAGTTTCTTTCGAAACCAACCTAAAATTTTCCTTCGCGACTATCGCATCGCACCCAACAGAAAACTTTCGTGATAATCACTCAAAGCCGCTTCATATATGATGTTAATAAATAATAAATATAAATTAAATAAGGTGCTTCAATTTTGAAATGAAGAGGTAGGAATCCAGTTCCTTTCATTAAGCTCCAAACTGCATTGCTGGTTCTTTCGGAAGTGAACGCGCTAAAACTTTAGAAGTGTTGCGCCTCAGTGATTGAGTAGTTTGCATTTCATCAATCTCCATCATCCAGTGTCATTAGGAACAGCTGCTCAAGCAGGTAAAAACGATCAAACCAGAGGTTTCGTCGCTCCAATTCGTTTCCTCATGAGAATGAAAGAGTAATTGATGATGGTTGATTATATAATTGTGCATTGTGCTTCACCACAACATTGGGCCTGACCACATCGACAGATACTTTAGAAATAAGGGCTCCTGCAAATTGTGATGCGTATGGCAGATTGCTGATGAGGGTTCTTCGAATGAGTACTGCTCTATTGCGCACAAATATCCGGTTGAACTGTTTACTTGTTGTAATTTTTTTTCTGGAAGTTATCTGGCCCATGGTGGCTCCTTGAATAACTGACGGATGTCGGTCATTTCTTGACCAAGTGTGCGAACACCTCAGAACTACGATAATCCTAATGAACCCGGATAACAACCTTGGTCTTGTAAAATGTTTCACTCGAGACGCTTCCAGATGAAACGTACGCCTGAATGAGACTCAAATGATTGTTCACGTTCGCCTGCTGTCATTATTGCCATTCGAAAGGCAAATATGCTGTATCTGGGTCTCTCGGGCAGAGAAATTGAGACTCATAGATGCCTGCGTTTCAATAGCCCACAAAGTAGTGACACTCACACAGCCTCACGTAAAAGCATGGTCCAGATGTATAAGTCATCCAGGCTGACTGTCTGCACAATGCACCACTAACCTGAACATCCACCCACCCAAAGGAGCCCTCGGAATAAAGGCCTTAAACGGATACATCAAATGGCCTCCTCTCATTGCCTGGTTGTCCTGGTCTAACGGCGGATCCTAATGATGAGGCACGTCTACAGGATGTCTATATTCTTGGTATCCCTTGTCCTTGATAATACTGAGTTCCATTCTGTCGTTCGTTTCTACATTGGACAAACAATCGAATTGTTACAAATTGCAATAAAATATTACCCATTGAATCTTTTTATTGGATACAGACACATTCAATATGAGTAACATATCCCATACGATTCTCACTTTACCCCACGCGAGCAATGCATCAGCAGGCTTTCAAATGCACACTACGTATCTAAACAATTAGTATAGAATTATCATTACCATTATATAACCTGCCGAATCTGGTGCTTTCAGAGGTCTTCATAGGCTTTCAAGGGTTTTCAAATGCGCATCATGCATCTCACCAATTAGTATAGATTTATTATTATCATCATATAATCTGTCGAATCTGTTGCTTTCGGAATGGTTCTGTTCGTTGCCACGAGTTATGTGGTAGCTTGGTCAACGGTCTTTTTTCAGATTTCCGACACATGGTTTATTCATTATTTTAGTATGGGCTACAGTACAGCGGAATCTCAGGGCATTTCTCTAATATGGTAAATCTAGAAATGAAGTTAAGATGATTTTTGGTGGCTCGAAAATCATTCAGTTCCTCAGATTCTCTTGTTTTTATGCAACAGCCTTCTATATATTCACAGGCAATGATCTCGCATACGATAAGATTATGCCACATGAAACACGTTAGGGTGATGAGGTCGGTCTCCGACCAAAGTTGATCACGTATGCACTGTAGTAAAATCGGAGTTACATAAGACGGCAGAATCGAATCAACATAAGAAAATGCTGTCGAAAGCAAATACAGGCCACGAAAAGTGTCCATTAGTTGTGATTCCCATCCACCGCCTTTCATAGTGAAATATCACAGCCATAGAATTAATTAAATAAAACACGACAGTATGGGATAACATTGGTACGACTTTCAACTTGGCAAACCCGTCCTCGTATTCTTTAGATATTGGTGACACTCAAACCAATGAACAACCGACAAAAGCTTACTTGATGTCGATAATTTTTCCAGGATTCGGAACCAGCTGCAAGAACCACCCAGTTCTTCCATGGCCTATTGTGAAATATCGATGACCGGTTGTGGGCACGCGTGGCTTCCAAACATGTAACATGGTCGATATAGAATAATAACCCAATAAGAAGCGGGCAACGGCGCATCGTATCCAGTCTTGCTTGAGGCTTCATCTGCCTGAAATTTTATACCGTGCATCACCCGTAAATTGAACTTTGCCTTACACATATATGGCGATAGTGTGTAAAAGCTATCCACTACAAATCGAATAGGACACCGACACAAATTGTTTTGCCGACCAGGTTATCATCGGCCATTTTTATCACCTTGTTCAATGCCTGGTTACTTGCGCTGTATTTTCCAAAAATGAGCGCACGTTGGCTATTTTTGGTGCATCCTAGTACAAACGGGGGCCAGTTCATTGAAGGACTTTGCGCTCCAAACAGTACTGAGCAGCATACTGAGTCCGTTAAAGGGTTTCACGTAGCGGCTGGCTTGATGGGGACTGACTAACTTGCTCAATGGGCATACTGGTGCGGTATTTTATATTAGGAATCATCGCGACAATGTGTGCTCGGCAAAATCCTGTAATTTCTATCAACTCACCAAAATCATCGGGCTCAAAATTGAGAACATCTCAGAATTTCTTTGTCTACCCACTGCGTAAATCGATGGTTTCATCACGCTTCTGGTTTGACCTAAGTCAGTGACACCAAATGTCACGCAAAGCTTTGAATAATAGAATTTTCTTTTTTATTGAGGTCTTACTTTACACGAAAATAGAAAAAATAAAATAAATAAATATAAAAATTGGATGAACGTTTTCAATCAGCAGATGGTTGATCTGGAAGTTCACCACTTTCTGTAGGGTGGAAAGATTTACATTTACCCTATTTTTATCAAGTAGAGACGATAAACAATTGCAAGCCATACAAGCTGTGAAGGCTTGGATCGAAGTTTTCGTTTTGCTGAAAATACACTCCGGAATTCGGGAGGCTGTACATGACTGCCTGTTTGGTTGCAGACGACTGGAATTTAATTGAAGCTATGTTTTCAAGAACAATTTGAGTTTCACGCATGGGTATAAAACGTCAGCTCGTCAACAACGGTGAGGAATCGAGTGACTGTTCCGCCGCCCTGGTGCTGCTGCCGGTAGCCGTCAACCCTACAGTGGAAAAAAATTTAGAATGGTAACTGCGACCAATTAACTGTGCCTTTGGAGCAAAAATTCTAGGAAATACAAGCTCTCCATTTTGATAAAACATCGCTTACATTCGGAAGTAATGGAGACTCAAGAAATCAGGTGTAAATGTCAGTCTCCCGCTTTTGTAGAATGCTGAGAAACCTCAAATGGCTCAAAAATCTAAATAGAGAAGACGTCCAAAAAGTCAGCAAGGCAGTTTTCTGATTGAACACGGAGGCATCTGTAAGTTCAACAAAGGCAGTCGATGATGGATAACGACAAACGTTCGACCCAAACCCTAGGTTCAAGATCAAAACTGCGCGATGCTTCTTGTAATTTGTGCATCCGATTATAGACTGTGTTGACTGCTGAAGAATCTTTTTCCGACACTGCGGAGCTATAGCTTGAACGGTACTTTGAATATGAGCTCTTACGAACGACGCCATTACACGTGTTCAATAATGAAACCCCAGCGATTTTTCAAATTTCACCGAACCGTACGCCCGCGACTAGAAGCATAGACGCAAAGCTTGGACGCAAAAATACTTAATATTTGGGCCGCCACAACCGTCAGCGCCAGCATCGGTCGCATAACTGGTCAATGCTCTCGTCGAATTCGAGTGGCATTCCAAAGCGTGGTGGCACTCATATGCTTGCGTCGACGTGCACGATGAAGGCTAAATCTGAGCAATGTCACAGACGGGCCAAACACTTGAGTACATATTTGTGAAAGCTTAACTTCATCACTCGTCTGACTCCCAACCACTCAATACTGCGCCCACTCCAAGCCAGAATTTTCGGTAACCAGTCTACACAGAAAGTCGAGAAGCGCTTGAAATCTATTGCATACCACGAACAGCGGAAATGTCAAAAAGCAAATTTTCGAGGACCAAAAATTTCTTGGTAAGCAACATGTATACCAGTGCGCAAATTCATGGATTATGTGGTTCAGCGTTCAGCAGCTGAAAATAAATTTATTGACATACGTTTTGACTAACGCCTACAGTTTCATAATTGAACCTTGAGAATGATCATCGAATCTGCGGACATTAGGTCAAATTAAGCGACATTTCTTGGCCTGCATATAGTCAGTTTTTTTATTCATTTGGCTGTGGAATCTAACGCCATTATAGAACGTTTCGAAACTCATACAAATACGACCAAAGTAGATTTGTTCCACTGAAGGGAAAACGGATCACTAAGTTCGAGATAATTCAACGCCAACTGCCGTAGGAGGATATGGCAGTTTTAGCCCCAGGAACCGTTGTGATTACATTACCATTACCCTGACCCCTTCTGATCTACCAGATCTTTAAATGACAAAAATCGGTCTGGATTAAAAATTGCTGCTGTGTTTACTCAATAGCTTTTTGTCAAACGTAGTTCGCAGTTGTACTCCACTCCTTCAAACGAGTAAATAACTTTCTGTCCTGGATCACTTCGGAGGAGCCGCATCCAATATAAGCTCCGTTTATCAGAAACTCATGGCGTGTGCGTGTGTATTCGGAATCCGCGTAACCAAATACTCTGAGAAATGAGGAACAGCAAGAATGCAGGAGCTGTGGGTTGCCTTTTAACCAGTAATCGCGTATTAACTCTATTCTTTCCGGTTTGTGGCCATGTCCACAAAGCTTTATAAGGATCTGAATGTTAATCAATATTTGACACTCACAAAACAGGGAAAACAACCAATTAGTCGTGGTGACAAATCACCATCACCATCACCATTTTCATCATCCTGGTCGGCGACAGTCTGACAAACGCCAATGGTTCGCTGCAATACAAACATTGATTCAAGAAAACTGGGGGCAAGATTGTCGCCAAGAACGCGAGTGACATCAATTAAAAGCTATATCCGGCAGATTCTGTAACATGTTTTAGTTTGCAAAAAGACTTTTTAAGACTCTGCTAGCTGTACGAGAGATTTTAGGGCTTCAAACAAAAAAGACCACGTGTAAAATTTGACACAAAGTTTTCTATATAGAAACGAGCGTTTCACGGATATTTGGATGTGCATCTACAAGTCGGCAGTGAATAGAGCTCACTGAGATAATGAGTTCCTCGGAGTTCATTTTTGTGTAATTGTGGAAATTTCAAAATGCATTTAATTATATACGAGGAAGCCGTGTCTCGGGACGTGAATTTCACCCTACTCTGAATAGGATTTCAGACAATGTGTTTGTTGTGTTGGGTGTGGAAACATCAACTAGACCACAACAAACTACCGACCACTAGTTATAACTCACTTAACAATGTGTTGGATGCTCTCCACAATATATACTACGAATCAGCTAGCGCTTTCGCATCAATATCAATCAGTACACAGGAGAGAATCTTTGGGCTCAATTTTGAGGAATATAGAAGGTGCTACAAATCGAAAACAAGCTTGGGAGCCTACCATTGAGTTCACGACAATGAAATTGTTGATAAGAACTTGATTTCCCAATTGGTCTTGCTGGGAGTTCTTGCCTTTTTCCTACGAAAATTAGCCCAAGTCAACATCGCCGGCACGCACGCGCCACACTTCATAACACATATCAGCTTAGCCGAGTGAAGGATTCCGTACCCGCAGGTCTCAACTGGAGCCACAATTGCCCTTGTGCCTAGCTAACAATTATTATCTAGCCCTTAGCAAGAAAACCGCTATTTTCACGATACCGAGGTAGTATTTTCCAGGTGCATCGGGTATCGGCATCAATTCTAGGTTGCGGGTGCTGAACTATCAAGCACAATAGACGAATTAGCAAATGGTGGGTTTGACCAACCTATCGGTCAGAGGAAACATCGGGCGACAGTGATCTTAGTCTAACCAATTTCGCATCTCCAAAGCACTCATCAATTCTTTGGTTCCAGGCGGCACTGTAACATATATGGCCTTTACTTCAAAGGAGAATAGGGTCCTCAGCCACCAACAGGAACATATCAAGCTGCTCGATGAGGTGACGCGAGCCCCGTTGAAGCCCCTCAAAGAATGGAGATCATGAGGAAGTGCATATTACCAAGGCTGACATATTCGCTCGTGCACGGCCAAGTTCACCAAAACGCCATCAAAATATTGTACAGCTGCATGAGGCAATATATTCATGGCTAGCTAAGTCTACCGGAGCGCACCCGATCAGCTACATCCATCCCGCTAAAAACATGGGGGATATTGTTTCTCAAGTCTGGGTGCAGCAATCCCGATGCGGCGGAGAACGCGTATGGAAAAGCCCCTTTCTTCTCAGTGCTAATACTACACAGTACTAGCAATGTGGTCAACGGCTCCGCATTTGGCAAAATTGATCGGGAACTCGGCCTGCTGATCCTAATCCACGGCGCATGCCTAACTATTAAGGAACAGCTTATGGCTCTTTGGAGTGGTGGTCTGCACAAAGGCGTTGTCGGTCGCGGTTTACGAGTGTTGGTCGCTTCGTCTCTTTCTAACCGACGGGTTGTATTTCCAGAAAGAATGTTTCCTGGGATATTTATCCTCGGAAACCAGCTTCGATGCAACCTGCACAGGACGAGATTTAAAGGCCAGACGATCATATGTCGTGTAAACTGGGGCCAACTAGTGAGTTGGGTGCATAGTTTGCAGTCCTGCTGGAAAGTACATGATACCACATGTGCTGGTCATAATCGGATTGAAGGGGAAGTCGCAAAACGTCCCCGTCGACTTGGATATACCTTTCTCGAGGAGCTGGGACCATCCACTTCGACATATTTCACCAGACCTAACATATTCGCTGTTTGGGATCACCGGTCAACTATACTAGACGTCAGCATAATCTCGGATGTGCGCGGAGTGACTGTGGAATGAGGAGATGCAGAAGTACGTTGTTAATGACTATTCCGTCGCCATAATTTAAGCGTCGCCTACAATCAATTGTGAAGTCAGCTTTCTGGTTCATCAACTGATGACAACCTCTTACCGAGGTATCCTGTTTCCTCAGTTCGCCCCAGACAGTTATTGGGCTAAAACATTCTGGTCACATCCAGTGACTTGTGTTT